TTTAGAATCTGGCTGCGTATTAATTTAGAGTCCATAGAATCCCTACTGTGTGGAAACAGGCCCTTTGGCCCAAAAAGTCCACACTGACACTCAGAGCATCCCACCCAGACCCATCCCCCTCTAACCCACTTAATTTACACATCCCTGAACACTACAGGCAATTTAGCATGGCCAATCCACCTAGCCTGCACATCTTTGGACTGTGGGAGGAAACTGGAGTACCCACATAGACATGGGGAGAATGTGCAAACTCCACACAGACAGTGGTTCGTGGGTGGAATCGAACGCTGGTCCCTGGGGCTGTGAGGCAGCAGGGCTAACCATCATGCCAACACTATTTTACTTTCCAAAGTAGGAATTTATAAAATGCCACATTGACTGTCTACAAATTGTGTGTTTTTGAACAAAATAGAATGTATCTGCAATTACAAATCTGCAAATGCAAATTCACCCCGGAGGTTTATATGTGTGTGTGCATATGAGTGGGAGAGAGAGTGTGTGTGTGTGCTTGAGAAAGAGAGAGTGCGTGTGAATGTGTGTGTGTATGTGAGTGTGAGTATGTGTGTGTGTGAGAGAATGTGTGTGTGTGAGAGTGTATAGTCTGTTGGGGTCACTTGTAGTGTAACATAAACCCTAGATCCCAGTTGAGGTTGTCCTCATGGTTACCGAACTTGGCTATCAGCCTCTGTTCAGTGACTCAGCGTTGTTGTGTATCCCAAAGATACAACGCAGAGTCACTGAGCAGAGGCTTATAGCCAAGTTTGGTAACCATGAGGACAACCTCAACTGGGATCTTGGGTCATGTCATACTACAGGTGACCCCACCACACTATACACTCTAGCACACACACATTGTCACACACTCATACAGACCATCTCTCATGCACACATGTACACTCACACACTCTCTCTCTCAAGCATCCACACACACACAGCTACATGGTGTTACCATTAGGATGAATCACTGAAGCACTCTACACACTCTACACACTCTGGTGAATACATGGAAAACTGGTTAGGTCCTCCCAGGTACAGTCATTTATATCTAGTTGGTGGAGCTTGTCTTGTGATGTCAGTTATGCTTTTTTTCTGATTACTAAATTCTTTACACAATTGTTTCAAATGACTAAAGTAGATTTACCACTACATTATCCCTCTCACTTTACAAATAACTGATTATTTGGTTGGAATTAAAGTTTGCTGTTGGAGGACGAAGCATTCAAATACAGTTTGTTGCCACACTTGAAGCCTGGTGGATCGATCATATATTTAATTTTTGCAGTTGGTTACCGTTGTGCTTTCTGGTGAGTAAAAACTAATGCTTCTAAACAGCTGAATTAACTGTATCGATAGTGCAACGCTCACTCCTGATGGTTGTGGTGTCAACAATATCGATCAAATCACAGCTGAAAAGCAAAGAAACGAGCTGTTCAATTTAATCCCACTTTCCGATACCTGGTCTGTAGCCTTGCGGGTGCAAATCTACGTACTTTTTAAATGAATTGAAAGTTTCTGTCCCAACTAATAATCCAGACAACGTAACATCCACCGGCCTTTGGATGCAAAAGGCTTTCCTCATGTTACATTTAATCGTTCTATCAATCACTGTAGATCTATGCCTCCTGGTAAGTGACCTCTCAGCTGGAGGAAACAATTCTTACCAGTCCAGTCTATTTAGTCCCATCATAATTTTGTAAACTTCAATTAATTCAGCCTGCAGTCTCTACTGTTCTAATGATTTTTAACATTTGAGAGGGATGGGAAAAAAGGAACAAAAGGATGGAATCAGTTCATTAGTGACAGAGGATCTCCGGTCAGAAGAACAGGATGCAGAATCTGTTTGGATAGATCTAAGAAAGAGCAGCAGACACTGGTGGGAATTGTTTATAGACCACCAAACAGTAGTGGCAATGTTGGGTATTGTATACATCAGAAAATTAGAGGTGCACACAGCAAGGGAAATGCAGTAATCATGGATGACTTCAATCGATATATAGACTGCGTAAATTCATGGACTGCGATCAAGATAGTTTTCTTGAGTAATATATTTACATATCATGCAATGAGAAAGGGCTAATTAATATTTCTCCCTGTGTCTGCATAGGTTTCCTCTGGGTGCTCCAGTTTTCTCCCACAGCCTAAAGATGTGCAGGATAGGTGAATTAGCCATGCTAAATTGCCCATAGTGTCCAGAGATGTTTAAATGAGGTTAGACATGGGAAATGCAGGGGTAGGGGAATGGGTCTGAGTGAGATGCTCTTCAGAGGGGCAGTGTGGACTTGTTGGGTCAAATGGCCTGTTTCTACACTGTAGGGATTCCATGATTCTAACAGGGAGGGTTAAAGAAAATATGTTGCTGTTGGTGGGATGTACATGGACTTCAAAAAGCCATTCAATACAACAGACTTGTGAGAAAAGTTATCGCTCATGGAATAAAAGGAACAGTAGTAATATTGTTACAAAATTGGCTGAGTGTTCAGAAACAAAATAACTATTAATTGATATCTTTCTTGCAGGAGGAAGATTTGTCGTGCAGTATCCCAGGGTTCAGTATTGAGACTTTATTGTTTTTTCTGATCTATGGTAAAGATCTATATCTTGATCATCTTAATGAAAAAGGAGCCTTTAGGGAGCAGTGATCACAGTATGATAGACATTCCCATTAAATTAAGAAAGATGCGGTTCAATCTCAAACGAGAGGCTTAAATCTAAACCAGTGAAATTATGAAGATATGAGAAGGAAGTTGATTATGGGTGATTGTGAAAATACATTTAAAGGCTTAGTGATATTTAGGCAATGGCTAGTTTTTAAAGAATTAATGCTCGGTTTTCAAAAAAAATCCTGTAACCATGTCTATCGCGGGAAGTTAAAGATCATATTATATCAAAGAAAAAATCTATAAAGTTGCCAAAAATGTCGCAGGTGGAAGGTTCAGAGATCTTTTAACATTAGCAAAGTAGGAAAAGAAATTGAGAAAGAAAGTAATATAACGTGGGCTAACACACAGAAAACCATAAGGCTCCTCCCTGGTTACTTCCTCAAAAAACTAAACAAGGTGACTAAGATACAACCTTTCCATAGCAAAACCAAGCTAACTATTCCTGATCAAGCAATACCTTTCTGAAGAACAGTTTATCCTGTCTCTTAGAATTGGCTCCAATAATTTGCCCACCACTGAAGTCACACTATAATTAGATGATCTATCCCTCTTAATCTTTTTAAATAATGGCACCATATTTAAACAATGTCTTCTGCTACCTCACCTGTATCTAGTGCGGATTAGAAAATGATCCTCAGACCATTAGTTATTTCCTCCCTGTGTTACAATTCAACTAATCCTGGTTATTTATCCACCTTCAAGGATGTCAGTGCATCCAGTATTTCAATCTCATTCTGCTTATTATATTGAAATTTTACATTTTTCTTCTTAACTAGAATATCTGCAGCATCACTGTCTTTGGTGAAGACAGAGACAAAATAATTATCAAGAAACATGTCCACATCTTCTGCATCAACATATAAGTTATCATGTACATCTCTGATAGATCTCTGTTTCATTAGTTATTCTCTTACTTTTAAAGTACTGAAGAAACGTCTTTGGCTTTTCCTTGATTTTACCAGCCAATGCGCTTTCTTATGTGCTGTTTGCTTTCTTCTAGTCTCTTTTTTAAATTCACTGCTGTACTTTCTATAGTCTTCTCCTCTAGTATTGACCTTAGCGGCTGTCATAAGCTTTGTTTATCTATCTTTCCCTGTATACCTGTGGATAACAAAGTGATCTAGATTCAGTAGCACCACTGTTTTCCTTCATGATAACATGTCTACATTGTGCCTGTAAAATCTCACTTTGAATGCTTCCCACTAATAGGTCCCTGACTTACCTTTCAGCAGCTGAATCCAGCTTGAATTAGATTGGTTTTCTGTTCTTATCATTCTTTTGTGCTTTTTTGAAAGGTTGTAAGGAAACGTTTAGCAGTTACAGACCAATAGTTTAAGTTTAACTGTGGGAAAACTTATAGAAACAATCATTTGGAATAGAATTAACAGTCACATGGACAAATGTGGGTTAATGAGGAAGAGTCGGCATGCAATTCCTGAAGGGCAATATGTTTAACTAAATTGCTTGAGTTCTGTGAAGAACTACGCCGCGCAGCATGGTGGCTCAGTGGTTAGCACTGCTGCCTCATAGCACCAGGGACCTGGATTCAATTCCCGCCTTGGGCGACTGTCTATGTGGAGATTGCGCATTCTCCCTGTGTCTGCATAGGTTTCCTCTGGGTGCTCCAGTTTTCTCCCACAGCCTAAAGATGTGCAGGATAGGTGAATTAGCCATGCTAAATTGCCCATAGTGTCCAGAGATGTTTAGATGAGGTTAGACATGGGAAATGCAGGGGTAGGGGAATGGGTCTGAGTGAGATGCTCTTCAGAGGGGCAGTGTGGACTTGTTGGGTCAAATGGCCTGTTTCTACACTGTAGGGATTCCATGATTCTAACAGGGAGGGTTAAAGAAAATATGTTGCTGTTGGTGGGATGTACATGGACTTCAAAAAGCCATTCAATACAACAGACTTGTGAGAAAAATTATCGCTCATGGAATAAAAGGAACAGTAGTAATATTGTTACAAAATTGGCTGAGTGTTCAGAAACAAAATAACTATTAATTGATATCTTTCTTGCAGGAGGAAGATTTGTCGTGCAGTATCCCAGGGTTCAGTATTGGGACTCTATTGTTTTTTCTGATCTATGGTAAAGATCTATATCTTGATGTGTAAGGGGTAATTTCAAAGTTTCTCTCATGAGGAGAACAGTGACAAGTTGGTGGAGTCGGCAGATAGGTGGCAAGTGAAGTTTAATGAAAAGAAGTGTGAAGTGATAAATTTTGGCAGAAAGAGCATGGAGAGATAGCACAAAACAAACGGTACTACTCTAAAATTGTGCAAGAGACCTAATGTCTATGTGCATAAATCATTAAAGATGGTGGAATACATTGAGAGAGTAGTTAACAGAGCACACAATAGCCCAGGCTTTATTAAGTCATCGAGTACAAAAGCAAGGTTGTTATGCTGAACGCATATAAAACAAGAGTCGTATCTCATCTGGAGTATTATGTACAGTTCTGGGCCCAACATATTAGGAAGGATATGAAAGCATTGGAGACAGTGTCATAGAGTTTTATGACAATGATTCAAGAGCTCAGAAACTTCAATTATTGGGATAGATTTCCTTTATCTTAAACCTTTTTCCCTTCCGCATGATTTTCACATTACTTTTAGCACTATAGGCATTTCATAACTCTTTTTGCTTCTTCTCTAAGCTTTTCACTTTGTATTACACTGGAAAAGAAATTGTGTTGTGCTGACATTGCTTATTAATAATTTCATGAATAATAGAAATGCCTTACCCCTTCAAAACTTTGTTTTTAATAAATTCTTCTGCCTTAAATTTTTCAGTGTTAATCAGGCAATCTATACTGCTATTTTTCAATTTTCTTAACAAGTGTCCACATTTCACAACTTTTTGACAGGTTTTCCCACTTCTTAAAACAATTTTTGTTTCATTATATCATGTGATAACCTTCTTTTAGTTTATCAGCCTAGAACTTTCCTTTTAAAATGCATTTTTTATCGTTCCCAGAAGGGAAGCTGCAGCTGGCAATGGAACCATGATTGTCAAATTCTGAGTCATCCTCAACAGGACTGATTATAGGAGAAGAAAGATGGACAAGAAGGCAGTGGAGGCCTAACTTTCATCACAGGATTGAACAGTGAAGCAGAACTGCTTGGAGATGTAAGAGAAACCAGTGCCACCTGATATTTGAATCCTTATGCAGATGGTCACAGACATTCGTGTCCTTGTTGCCAGCAAACTCACATCTCAAAGCTCTGATGCTGCCTGGCCTGCTGTGTTCATCCAGCTCTATACCTTGTTATCTCAGATTTTCTCCAGCATCGGCAGTTCCTACTATCTCCACATCTCAACGCACATTTTTTTGTACTATCACTATTATTACTAATCAGTCTTCAGTCAATTCTAATCACTCAGCCTCATATCAAGCAAATTGTAACATCATCGACAGCAGTAATACTGAAGAGTTGTGCTCTAGTATCAGCTGCAGCCCCAGTCAATCTATTCCAGTACACTTATAACAATGGCATTACTGCAAGAATCTGGAAAATTGCTTAGCTACAACCTGTCCGCAAAAAAATAAGTAGGCCAAATCCAATCCATTTATCAACCCATCACCCTACACTCAATGATCCATTATGTGATGAAGCAGGTCATTGATAGTGCTTTCAATTAGCACTTAGTATCCAGTAGAGGAGTCATTTAGCTGGATGGCTGGTTTCTGAAACAGAATAATGCCAACAGTTTGGATTCAATTTCCACACTTGCTGAGGTCACCACGAAAGTCCTATCTTCTGAATCTCACCCCTCATCTGATGTCCGGTGGCCTTCAGGTTCAATTCAGCAGTTATTCCCATTATATGCAATAGCATTACCAATATCAAATTAACCAACTCTTGGGGGTCACCAGTGACCAGAAACTGAACGAAAGCAACCACATAATCACAGTGGCTACAAAAACAGTCAGAACTTGGGAACTCTGTTGACTCAACCCTTACTTCCCCAAAGCCAGGTCATCATCTACATGACACAAGTCAGGTAAACAATGGAATACATTCCACTTGCCCGAATAATTACAGTTTTAACAATCTTTACAAAGCTCAGTATCATTCAGAATAATGCTGTCCATTTGAATCGCATTTGATCCAATAACTTCATCATTTATCCATTGGCACACCATGCCTACACTGCATGATGCATTGTAGAAACCTGGCAATGTTTCCATGCCTTCAATTTACAAAGCATAAGAATGTGGAGCGTGGGAGGACTATATAATTTTTCTTACTTGTTCAGCTTCAAGTGCATCCCATTATAACTCAGTATAACGATCTGGGGTAGAGAATTGCAAAGATTCACAACCCTTTCAGTGGAGAAATTTGTCCTCATTTCAGTCATAAGTGATTGGTTCCTTCTCTTGAACCTATGCTGCCTTGATCCAGATTCATTTTTCTCTTTTCTTTGATTTTGCCCAACCTTCAACTACATGTTTCTTTTTTGACTTTTGTCTAACATTCAACTTTAGCTGTGTTCTTAGATTTTCCTTAAAATAATGAACTGAAATAGAAAGATCAATTGTTGCCAATACTGTCTTCTTTTGCGTATTTCTCAGAAAATAAACAAAATACATAGAAATTTTTTTTAAAAATTTATTCCAATTTCCAATTTTGAAACAATATAGTAATTGACTCATTGAAGTTAATTTAGTAACACTAACTGACAATGGAAAATATCTTCTGCTCCTTAAGTTTAAGATTAAAGCTAACTATATGGAATACCATCTCATGACCAATTCTGTGAATGAATAATCTACCATGCATATAGCTAGAATGCTTCTTGTACATTTCAAGATCCCGACTTCACAGCATTTCTCATATACTCAAAGACACAATCTAAAATAAGGTTCCGTGTTCCATTTAAGTTCTCTTTGTCACTCATTTGTGTGATTGTAACAATTTACTATCACCAGTCAATTGGCAAACAGTATAAACAGTATAACAGTTTTAAAAATGCTATTAAATTGACATACACATCGCATATGTGTGCTGAATTATTTTTGTCATGACTTCCTACAATAAATGACTACTATAGTTAGGTGATTTTCAAGGATGTTAGGTGAAAACTGGCCTAGTTGTCAAAGTTATAAATTTTGATTCAGTTGCCTCTTGAAGTCATTTATACAGAACAACTGCCCTCTTATAGTACAGCAGAAATTGCTTTACAATAATTAACTGCAAATTTCTTTATTACATTGTTATACATAATACAAAAATGCAATTGTCTATTCTTGTTGCTGTCTGATACTCTTGGCACTTACTAGGCTTACCTCTTCTCAGAAATAGCATGCTCTTATTCATCCTTAGACGTTTTCACTAGATCATCCTTTGCTTTCTCTACAGATTTTTCAATGCTATCGTTAATCTTATTTTGAGAACTGGGGTCATGACTACTGCACTGTTTCTCTCCTTTCAAAAGCTCTGTTTTAGAATCTGATGGAAATGCGGCTTCAGAGACAACTGATTTATCAGAAGTGTCAATGACATATCTGGGTTGAATTTGATGATGATACTTTTTACGTGTGGAAAACATTATTCCCTTGAAAATAAGGTAAATTATTTCACTTAAATTTAGAACAAGTGACACACAACTCACAACCAACATAAAAATAATGAAAATGGTCTTTTCTGTTGGACGTGAAATAAAGCAATCTACTCTATGTGGACAGGGATTTCTGTCACATATATAAATGGGACTCAAGGAAAATCCAAATAGATACCATTGACCCATAATGAAAGCAACTTCAAATACAATTTTACAGAAAACTTGTAGGAGGTAAGAAAATAATAGGATTCCTCGTATTTTTACTTTTCCATGAGTTACAGTGTATTTTGTCTTCTTGCTTTTTCTGAACGTGGTTTTAGTTTCACCAATTGCTTGTTTTGCTTCAGTGTGGATGACATGTAAAGCGTGGCCAAGATATATCAAGGTAGGGGTTGAGACGAATATAATCTGAAGAACCCAAAAGCGAATGTGGGAGATAGGAAAGGCTTTATCATAGCAGACATTTTCACAGCCAGGTTGGCGTGTGTTGCAAACGAAACCAGACTGTTCATCACCCCAAACCTTCTCTGCACCAGCCCCAAGGAGTAAGATCCTGAACACAAACAGTGTCGTGAGCCAGATTTTCCCAATAACTGTAGACTGTGACTGAACTTTATCCAGCAATCTTCCAAGAAAGGTCCAGTCTCCCATTCTTCAAAAGTGGTATCTGCCAAATTAAACACATACTGAATTATTAATTTGAAATGAATTACTAATGTTATTACTGAAATGGTAATATATTGACTCTTTGACTCCTTGGGTGAATTTCTGTAAGAATTCTCCCATCCATTTGGTCCTACTTCAACAGATGTGATATAGGCAGTTTGTAAAAATGGTGTAAAAGGAAAAATGTGATCACCATCAACCCCACCTTCAGCTCCCCTCACATCTTCTCAGAGAGTATTTTCCATAGAAATGCAAACATATCCTTGAAATATTAAAACCATCACAAATGACGTTATTGTTAATGTAATATCAAAAGTAATTTTATGGAGTTGACATAGTGAAAAAAGACTCAGAAAAATAATTACTAACCAAAAGCTGTAGCTACATAGTTGTCTAAACGAAACTCCTGATTGTTCTCTATATATAGAGGGGTGTAGGGTAGCTGAGGTTTCAACTACTGGTCATGAGTTTCTCATCTGAAAAACAATGGGAGATTAGGATAATCCCTCAAAAGAATTCTACTCCAGCATTATTTTCAATGAAATTTCAATGTGCCATAACTGATCTCATCTCTCTTAAACTTTACAGAATTTGTACTGAAGAAGAGGCATTATTAATAGCATTATGTACCATAATTTCCTATTGATATCTTGGAGCTAATCTCAATTCTTTGTAATGCAGTTCCACCTGGTTTTAAAACTGGAAGCTATTTAAAAGGTAGGTGTAGAAACATTGAACATAGAAACTAGGAACTTGATCCTTTGAACCTGCTCTGCCATTCAACTTGATCACCGCTGACTCTCTATCTCATTGCCATATTTCGACTTTCTCTCTAGACTCCTTGCTGCCTTTATCATTAATCAATTTTGAATATCTTCAGTGAATTGGTCTCCACTGCCTTTTGTTGTAGAGAATTCCACAGGTTCACTACCCTTTGAGCGAAGAAGGTTTTCCAAATCTCAGTCCTAAATGATTTAACCCATATCCTGAGTCTAAAACACCCGTTCTAGACTCCAACTAAAGAAAACATCCTCCCTGCATCTAGTCTCTTCAGCCCTGCTAGAATTTTGTGTGCCTCAATTATACTTTCTCTCTCCTTTCTAAATTCTAATGAATGCAGCCACAGTTGAACCAATCTCTTCTCATAAGACAGTCCTGCCATCCCTGATTTCAGCTTCATGAACCTCTGTTTCACTCCCTCAATGACAAATGTAAGCTTTTTTTAGATAGAGGGATCAAAACTGCATGTAATACTCCAGGTGTGGTTTCAACAGGCCCTGTATAACTGTGGTAAGATATCCTGACTTCTGAACTCAAATGTTCTTGCAATGACAGCCCATATACCATCTGCCTTCCTAATTGCTTGTTCGCTTGCCTGTCTACTTTCATTTAAGGTTGTACAAGTATATCTAGATCTCTTTGTACATTCACGTTTCTCAATATATCACCATTTAAATAATATTTGTCTCTCTGTTTTTCACACAACGTGTTTAACTGTCACATTTCTCTATGTTGTACTGCATTATCATCTGTTTGCCTACTCATTCAACTTATCTAAATTACTTTGAAACTTCCTTCATCTTCCTCACAATCCATAATCCCAAACAGTTTTGTCTCATCAGCAAACTTGGAAATGTTGCATTTGGTTCCCTCATCCAGGTCATTTCTAGATATCTTGAATAACCGGTGTTCAAAACTGATCCCTGTAATGCGCCACTCGTCATTGTCTGCCGCTTGGAAAAAGCCCCATTTATTCCCACTCTCTGACTCCTGTCTGTCAACGAATTCTTGATCCACGTTAATATATTACCCCATGTGCTTTAAATTTGCCCACTAACTGCTAATGAGGAACCCTAACAAAAGACTTCTGAAAATCCAAATACGCCAGTTATCCCTCATCTAGTCTACCAGTTACATCCTCAAAAAACACCAGTAGATTTGTTATGCATGATTTGCTTTATGTAAACCTATGCTGGCTTTGTCCAAACCTGATAAAGATTTCCAAATGTTCCATTATCACATCTTTTATAACAGTCTGTAGCATTTTGTGCACTACTGATGTTACGCTAATCGATCTGTAATCCCTTTTAAATAGTGGGGTTACATTTGCCAACTTCCAATCCGTAGGAACTGTTCCAGAGTTTATAGAATTTTGGAAGATGACCACCGATGCATCCAAAATTTCCAGGTCCATTTCCTTCAGTACTCAGGGAGTATGGATTATTAGAACCCGGGAATTTTTCAGCCTTTAACCCCATTAATTCCCCAGCACCATTTTCTTACTAATATTGATTTCCTTCAATTCCACCCATTCACCACACCCTAGATTCCGTAACATTTCCTGGAGGTTATTTGTACCCTCTCTTGTGGAGACAGAACTAAAGTGCAATTAAAGCAATACTCAGGCCTTCAGCAAACTAATATGTTCTTTAAGCGATTGTTTATATATCATTGGGTGACTTGAGAAAATTAGGCCTTTCATTTCTATAATCATCTGCTATCATTACTGGGGTCCAAGGATGGCATGCACGTGCCAAGGTATTGTACCCCATTCTATGAAATTGATCATGAATCTTCTTATATGGGACATGTATATAACCTAACTTGCATTTTGTAATATAATGGAATGTGCAAATGATGATGTGACTTATGATGTGACACTGACGTCAGTTAAACAGAGTGAGAGAAGACATCGATTAAAAGAAGTATATAAAAGAGGGCTTCTTAGACAGTACACCAGAGAGTTAATTTTGTAACCGGTAATGTACAAATGTAAATTAGAGTAGTCCAGTACATCAGAAGTGGAAGTACCTTATTTAAGGGTATGAAACCAACAGCTTCATAGGGTGGAATCTTATTCGGCTCTGAGCGCCTCAGGGTATGGAGAGATGGGTGGTGGAGTTGGGCGAGATATTGGTGAGATCCACCTCAATGTTGACATCATCTCGCTGCATGTTGTACACTCTTCCCAAGCAGCGTGTCAAAATTCTCACAAGGCAACAGCGAGTTCCCAATTGACGCTTATCATTGCTTGTTAAACATTTTGCTAACAGTCCAACTTGCTACAGGTTGCAATCTTACCAAACTCACTGTACAAACTAGCTGTTGGGAAAACTCAACATGGAAACTGGACTGGGTTCTTAGCAGGACCTACCTGCCACTCACTCCAAAACATCTCCATATTGGATACTGGGCACCAAAGTCTTGGGCACACTCCATGGGCACAGCCACATGGACCCCTTATCCACAGAATTTGGTATCCAACATGTGCCAGACTCTATGAACCGTCAGGGTGCATGGCCGATCAATTTCAAGACCCTTCGGAAGTTCAATCCCTTATTTCAGGTTGCACCAGCATCAATCATTGTAATACTGCAGATAAATACTGTTTGGGATAGTCAGAATCACAATCATCCAATTGCAAGGAGTGAGAAACCAAATGATGGGAAGGCACGTGTCTTGACTCTTGCTGCTCTGTTTTGCTGCTGGAATGAGTGTGAAGCAGGTATTATAAAATATGAAAGTGAGTGGCACAGCTATTACTGTTGGTATAGGTGGGGACATGACTTGAATGAGTGAGTAGGCAATTCAGAATGTGTGCACGGTTAGTGGTGAGGGTGAGATGGGAAGATGTTGCGTGATTTAGTGACAGTAGTAGAGCAGGAGCCTTGGTGGGAGGTGGATCCAATAGCAGAGATAGAGTGAGTATGAGGTATTGGAGAGGAAATGGTGACACTTATGCTAGCAGAGTGGAGAAAAACATTGATCTTCCTCCCACATTGCTGTGCATTCCTCCAAAAGGCTTAGAATGCTTTATGCTGGGTGGCAATCACCAACCAGTTTGGCATCATTTGGTGACATGCTTCCACTGCTGATCCGGGGGGAGGAGGAAGCACTACCTGTGTGCCATTGAGTAGGATATCCAGGATGCAGTCCGCAAAGTGAGCCAGCAATTTCTCCTGTCTGCAAGTCCAGGGCAAATGTCAGGAACCATGCTGGGCAGCTCCATATAGACAATGCTTGTTAGCATTCACAATGTCTTTTTAAATATGGCACTGGCGCCAGGGATTCCAGTCAATTCAGGGATATCCAGTGAATGACAACTTGCTCAGGGAACAGCGCATGGTAACTAGTGCAGAAATTGGACATGATACTTGACGTGTGGACTGAAATGCCAATTCATGCAGTGAATTTGATTTGATTTGATTTGATTTATAGTAGTCACATGAACCTGAGTACAGTGAAAAGCTTTGTCTTGTGAGAAGTACAGGCCAATCATAGCAAACATGGACATACAGATCATAGGGTGCTTAGACAGAGCAAGGCATACATCGTTACAGCTGCACAGGAAGTTCTCAAAGCAAGATTAGCATTAGCAAGATCAACATTACTTGAGAGGTCCATTCAGCAGTCTAATAACAGCAGGGAAGAAACTTTCGTGAACCTGTTGTTTTGTGTGTTCAGCTTCAGTGTCTGCCTGACAGAAGAGGTTGGAAGAGAACATTAACGAGATGGGAGGGATCTTTGATGATGTAGGCAGCCTTCCCATGGCAATGAGAAGTGTAAATGGAGTCCACGAATAGGAAGTTGGCTTACATGATGGTCTAGGCTGTGCACAGAGCTTTCTATAGTTTCTTACGGTCCTGGGCAGAGCAGTTGCCGTACAAGGCCATTATGCACCCAGATAGAATACTTCCTATGGTGCATCTGTAAATATCGGTGAGGGACCTTATGGACATGCTGAATTTCCTAAGCTGCCTGAGGAAGAAGAGATAGTAGGAACTGCAGATGCTGGAGAATCTGAGACAACAAGGTGCAGAGCTGGATGAACGCAGCAGGCCAAGCAGCATCAGAGGAGCAGGAAGGCTGACGTTTTGGGCCTAGACCCTTCATCAGAACTGGGGGAGGGGAAGGGGGTTCTGAAATAAATAGGGAGAGAGGGGGAGGCGGATAGAAGATGGATAGAGGAGAAGATAGGTGGAGAGAAAACAGACAGGTCGAAGAGGCGGGGATGGAGCCAGTAAAGGTGAGTGTAGGTGGGGAGTTAGGGAGGGGATAGGTCAGTCCAGGGAGGACGGACAGGTCAAGGGGGCGGGATGAGGTTAGTAGGTAGGAGATGGGGGTGCGGCTTGAGGTGGGAGGAGGGGAAAGGTGGGAGGAAGAACAGGTTAGGGAGGCAGGGAGGAGCTGGGCTGGTTTTGGGATGCGGTAGGGGGAGATGCCACCCGAAGGTTGCAGGAACAGCAACTCATATTCCGCTTGGGAACCCTGCAGCCCAATGGTATCAATGTGGATTTCACAAGCTTCAAAATCTCCCCTCCCCCTACCACATCCCAAAACCAGCCCAGCTCGTCCCCGCCTCCCTAACCAGTTCTTCCTCCCACCTATCCCCTCCTCCCACCTCAAGCCGCACCCCCATCTCCTACCGAC